CTAATGCTCTTATATTGGCACTAATCCTGATTACAACCAAAGTGGTTTTAGATGTAGATACGCAATACTGGATGGTGTCAAACTTTGGCTGCAGTCTTTCAATCTCACACCATTATAACATGATGGATATCAAAAGCATCTTCTAGAATCAATGCTCTGCATGAATTATCTCATGGTCAACCTGACTTACCCTGTTTACATGAACAAAGCTAAATGAAGAGCTGGGAAGGAGGTTAAGTAAGACCAACGGAGAAATCACAGGCACAGAATGCATCATGTGTCACACTGAATTACAAATAAATTACTTTATAAATTATTTCCCAAGAGAGTGAAGATAGTTGAAGACACATTTTGGAAGATGGTGCTGAGGGGATACGGTAACATTATCTCATTCAAAATGGTCATTGTCATATCAATACAAACACTGCATTACTTGTAAGTGGCTCTTTTTCCTGTAAAATGTTGGCTTAAAAGAATCTTACATACACAGCAATCAAAAATGCTGCAAATGACAGTTGGGTGAATGTGTTCAGTGCCAGTTGAACTGTAGCCATTCCAAAATATAAAACGGAGGAAAGCCCTTAACAGTAAATTGACTATTACCAGTAAGAACAACCTAATACAAAGCAGAGAGAACAAATTACAAAACTGCTGCATAGAAAAATGTGGATTGGTTAATAGCAAGATCCAGCACAGCATCACAGCAATATTATAGACTGCCGACTGACCAGAGATTTGCATTAAAAGGAAACAGGTACTTTTTGCAGCACAAAATCCCAGAACATTCCAGATTCAAATAAATCATTCTGAAATATGGTATTGCTATAATGTTGGAAAGCAACTTAAAAGACGGGCCAGTGCTATTGAGTATCAGAGTGATACAGTACAAATCCTTGGTCATAGAATCATAGAAATTTCACGGCACATGAAAAGGCCACACAACTGATCACATCTATGCCAGCCAGAAGATGAGTCACCCAGCCCTAATGTCACTTTTCAGAATTTGATCCATAACCCAGCAGGATACAACACTTGAAACAAAGACAAGAGCAGGAGTAGGCCTTTGGTCCTTTGAGCCTGCTCTGCCATTCATTCTGATCATGGCTGATCATCCAACTCAATAGCCTGTTCCTGACTTTCCCCCACATCCTTTGATCTCTTTAGTCCCAAGTGCTATACCCAATTCCTACTTGAAATCATGCAATTTTTTGGCCAAATACATTTAAATTAATCAAAGATTTTTGGATCTATTCTCTTTCAGGCACAGAGCTCCAGGCTCCTTCCAACCTCTGGGTAAAAAAGATTTTCCTCATCTTCCCTCTAAACATGGTGTGTTGCTTTTGAAATTAAAAATCATTGCTTTGGTACAAATGTAACTTTTTTAACATCAAAACTTTGTCATTGGTCATATTTATTTAGCTGTAATTTTAATGAAGGAAGCTAAAATTACTTGTAAAATTTATAGTGCTGTAAAGCTAATGAACCGAATATTTCACTCAAACAGAAAAATTAGAAAAATAGCTACTGTATCATACCCTACAGCATAGTTTTGCCACAGCACATATGAAAGAGACAATGAGGCATTTTTGTATTTACCTTTGATGTAAATCAGTTTTATTCAAGTTACTGCATGGACTTTTATATACTGGTATTTCAATACCCATGATATCTTCATGTCACAGTAACAGCTCTGATGTCATAAAGATATATTAATACCAAATCAGTTTAACTGCTGTCAGTACTTCAAATTAAGTTGCTATTTCAAGTGCATCCTAGAGTGTTAGTTAATTCAATGTTTGTATTCTGATGGGATAAATGGACTGTGTAATAAACATTTAGTACCAATTTTCCATTCATGATCTGTGCAACTCAATAAACTGAGATCATCTTGCACATCAAGTGGATGCTTCAGTGCAAACAATTTTAACACAGATCTTTATGCTTGGTGATCTACAAAAGAGAATTTAGTTGTATGTACATAGTTTTCAAGTTCATATACTGCACAAAATAAGTCTTTTATCCTCAAAAATCATCTATGCTTGAATCATTCAAGCAACTGGTTCTTTATGAATGAATATCAATCTTTTGCAAGGTTCGTTGTATGACAAGCATTAGGTATTTTGTACATACTTTGGTATGATGATCTCAAATGGGTTTATATTTCCCTGTTTAATGAAACATAGCCCTACTTTGTATCTTATGGTGGAAAATCCCTCAAGGAAACTGTACTTATAGCTCTCATGATCAAAGTTATTCTAAAAATCTTTCCAAATTTTAACAGTTCTAATTATTTAGTCAGTAAAGGAAATGAGGCCTAAAAACAAAAATCAGAAAATTCTAGAGATCGTAGGAACTGCAGATGCTGGAGAATCTGAGATAACTAAGTGTAGAGCTGGATGAACACAGCAGGGCAAGCAGCATCAGAGGAGCAGGAAAGCTGATGTTTCGGGCTGAGACCCTCCTTCAGAAACGGGGGAGGGGAAAGCGGTTCTGAAATAAATAGGGAGAGAGGGGGAGGCGGATAGAAGATGGATAGAGGAGAAGATAGGTGGAAAGGAGACAGACAGGTCAAAGAGGTGGGGATGGAGCCAGTAAAGGGAGCGTAGGTGGGGAGTTAGCGAGGGGATAGGTAAGTCCAGGGAGGACGGACAGGTCAAGGGGGTGGGATGAGCCTAGTAGGTAGGAGAGGGGAGAAAATTCTAGGTTTGATTTCTGGTCTATGATGATCCAACAAATATGACAACAGCAACAATACGTTTAGATTCGATTAGTCTGCACAAGGGAACAGACACCAGCTGGAATGCAAGAACTTGCCTGCTCTCCAGCAACCCTACCTGAAAAAGGTTTGTAAATCTCAAGTGACAGCAGGAAGGCACTTTTACCTTGCTTCAAAAGCTAGAAATTGAACTCAGTTTTGGAACATGAAAGCAGACCCGAGGTTAGATTTGACCAGATTACTTGTCTGGAAGCCATTTGTTCAAAGTTTCAGGTAACACTATAAAGTGACCAGAAGCAGCGGAATGAGTTACAAAAAAATACTAATTGCTCTTTGCACCTTCTGCTGTGAATACCACCTCACATTCATCACCATCTGTATAGAGTTGTTAAATCTCTACTGTCAATGAACAGCACAGTGGCTCAGTGATTAGCACTGCTGCCTCACAGCACCAGAGACCTGGGTTCGATTTCAGCCTTGGGTGACTGTGTGGAGTTTGCACATTCACCCCGTGTCTGCATGGGCTTTTGCTGGCTGCTCCAGTTCCCTCTCACAGTTCAAAGATGTGCAGGCTAGGTGGATTCGCCATGCTAAATTGGCCATAGTGTCCATAGATGCGCAGGCGAGGTAGGTTAGCTATTGTAAATGCAGGGTTACAGGGATAGGGGTATATACAGGGATACTGTGGGTGAAGAGATCCTTCATTAGGTAATAAAATTTACCATGATTAGTCTTTTTACTGTAACATTAAGCTAATGGAATCCCTACTCAAAGATGCAATAGAAAAACATCTAGAGATTGCAGTTAGCATAATTTATATGCAAAAGACCATGTTTGACCAACATTGTTGGATTATTTAAGTAATAGAAATAAACAAATTAGAAACTAAAATGAAAAGAGTAATGCAGCTGATGCAGTATTTGGATTTTGAAACATCCTTTGATAACGTATATTTATGACAGGTCAGAGAATACACAGGACAAGTATCAGAATGAATAACAAGTTGGCTACATAAAGAAAGACGAAAGAAGTTACATTTCAGACAGGCAAAAGGTCGGAAGTGATTTTTCTTCAGTGCTGGGACCAACAGTACAATGTCAAAATGTCAACATCATGCTGGTGTATTTAATACAGATGAGGACCGCTACAAAATACTGGAAAATATCAGTAAATTTGCTTATGGGTGTGCAATTGACAAATTAATTTCAATATAGATAAGCATAAGTTGTGTACTTGGATAGGAATATTAAGGAGGCCATAGAATTATTGGGAACTGTGTATTTACTTCAAGAGATTTATTAAACTTCAGTTCTCCTTTTCAAACTTTAAATGACACGTCCAATCCCCACAATCAATAACTCAGTTTGGTTTTCCTAAAATTTTAAACCTCATGACCTAAACCCTGTTCAATTAATAGCCATTCTTGTGATGAAGTTTTTGAAATTTTGATGCTAAAAAACTGCAATTGCTTGGAGCCCAGAAAATACTCGATGTATTACACCTAATAATGTAGTCTTTTTCAAACTTTAGTGAATCATAGTCTGTGGCAAAATACATTTAACTTCCCCTTTGTCATGACCTAGATTACTTGAAACTTGCATATTTCATAAAAGATGCACACTCTAAATGTCTAATAGATTTCATTCTCTTTGGACCATTGTCCAATTCTCTTTTGGAACCCACAGTTGGGTCTGCCTCCATCACACATTCAGATGAAGAATTGTGAATCTGAACCATTCGGTGCGCAAGGGAAAAAGATAGTTTTCCTCATGTTACCATTGCTTCTCTTAACAATCAACCTGGATCTGTGTCCTCTGCCTCTTGATCCTTTCAATAATGCATACAGTTTCCTTCTGTAAAAATCCTTCAAGATTGTCACACCACTATCAAATCAAACCTCCTCACAGGGCAATAAATGCTAGTTTTGCCAACAACGTCCACATCCTAGAATGTATATAAAAATAAAGTTGACCAGTTCGGTCTTTAATTCCCTGGCATTACATGAACGTAGCAGCATCAAGTAAATAATAACAGAATGCAGCCATTCAGCCTTCCAGACTCTCAACCGTTACTGGCTGGAAGGACAAAGGCAGATGTGTGGGAACACCACCATCTGCAAGATCTCCTCCAAGTCACACACCATATCTTAAGTTGGAAATATACCACCATTCCTCACAGTTGCTGGGTCTGTGGTTGCAGCCTGGAGCTCACCACCATCTTTCAATGGTAATGACGGATGGGAAGTAAATCCTAGTCTAGCAACAATCACATCCCATGAACAAATGAGGAAGAAAAGCCGCTCAAATCTGTTCCATCATTCAATTCAGACATGGGGGACCTAGTTTGAGGGATATAGCACAGTCTGTTAATCTTAACTCAGTCCAGAAAACTCCAGCTGTCTGTTTTACACAATTCCTTTGCAAACTTGTGAAACTTTACTGAATCAATTTGCCGGATTTTAAATCAATACCTGCTGGTTATGTTGCATAGCATGCACATAGGCTTCCATAACCATCAAGTGCCAACATTTCCTAAAGCTATGAATAGAGACAATGCCTAAGACAAAACAGCTATTTAACTTAAAAATATTGCCACGAAATTTAAAAGAGCCTAAACATGACAGCCTGTTGTTGAACAAATACTTCAACAAGTTGAAGTTTCAAAGGAAGCAAGGCCCATAAAAACTTTCAGAAAGGAAGTTGGTAAACAGTTGAATCAAATATTTAAAAGGCCTATGGGAAAAATAAGGCAATGAGTGTAAGTATGTACTGTACTATGTATTGTACTGACTTACTTACAAAGTCAAAGGGCTGAATGATATCCCTTAGTGCTGTAAAATTCCAAAATCTAAAATTCATACATTTTATGACTTCAATCACAGCAATTTGGCAGTAATTATTTAATCTCTCAACCCATTTAATTTTCAGCTATTGCATTCATTTTATACATACATACACACACATTTCACAGTACATGAGAAAATTGGTATGAGTAAACGTCACAAAATTTAAAAGAAAGTGACAGCACTTTTTTCTTTACACTCAGCAATAACCTAATTGAATTGACATAATCTGTAAAAGAACAAACTTGCACGAACCCCTTTTCACAACCCAATAAGATCCCAAAGTACTTTAGCGTCAATTAAGTATATTTTGAATTGTAGTCATGTTGGTAATGTAGAAAACATATAAACCAAGTTGCACACAGCAAAGCGTCACAACCAACAATGTAATAATAACCAAATAATCTGTTTTAGTGACATTAGTCAAGGGATAGATATGGGCAAGGATCCAGGGAAAACTCATTTGCTTTTCTTCAAATAGTGCAGCAGAATCTTTTATGCCCATTAAGAGGACAGGGCTTTGGTTTAACATCTTAACCAAAAGACTGTCAATGCAGGTAGAGGTAGTATCAGTCTAGATTCTGTACTCAATTGTCTGGAGTGGATCTCAAGCTTCTCACTGTTGATAAGCCACGAATGATCAGCAGCCAAGAAAAGAATGAAGGTGACTGTTGTTACCGAAGCCTAACAAGGTACTTACCTAATCGTCTAAGATTGGGGAGCATGTGCACAACAAAAAGTCGATAGTCTGATTCATTTTTGGACACAGGGTTCAGTCTCAGATCAAGTTCTTTCAAACAACCCAGATTACGAAGGAGAAAAATCTCTTTCAAACTTGTTATCTTGTTATAATATAGGTTGAGCTTTTCCAGATGAATCAAATGCTGGATCCCCTGTGTGCACAATATAGAAAGTGAAAATGCATTAAAATCTGTGTAACTGTTTTAAGTTTTCACAAATAACTTTTCTCTAAAGCATTCAAAATTATTTTTGGAAACAAAAAGGATTTTGCTCTCAAGGGGTACCCTGCTACTCCGTAAGGTGAACTGCAACAGTTCTCACTGATACACTTAGCACTGAAATCAATACAATGCTGTGAAGTTGGCTGCTTCCAAATTAGTTCTCCAGGGCAGAAAACATACGTTGGTTTATTTGTGAAGAAGGCAATGTTTCAAGGCATCGTAACTGATAATTACTGAAGATCCTTTATTGCACTAAAAATGTACACTGCAGAGACTTGCTTCTTCAGAAGTTAATTGGTATTAGTGGCTTTCTAAAGTGCAAAATTTTTCCTGACTTTTTCTACATGCAACAAATAAGACCAGGAGTAGGCCACCTGAACTCTCAAGTGTGTCCATCATTCAATAAGATCAAGGTCGATCTCTGCTAGGTCTTAACTCCACTTTCGTGCCAGCTCAACATGGCCGTCAACACAGTCATATTTCAAAAAGTCTGCCTACCTCCTCTTTAAATACTTCCAGTGATCTACCCTCTACAACTCTCTGGAGCAGAGAATTTCAGACATCAACTACCCTCTGGGAAAAGAAATTCCTTCACATCCAATTTTAAATCAGTGTCCCTTTATTCTGTCCCCTAATTGAAGACCTCCCCAGGAGTGGAAACGTCTTCTCAACATCTACTCTTGTCAAGCCCTCTCAGAATCTTGCATGTTTCAATAAGATTACCTCTCATTTTTCTACTTTTTAATAAATAAAGGCCTAACCTGTTTAGCATTTTTTGATATGACAACCTCTTTATTCCAGGAATAGCCTAGTGAATGTCTTTTGAACAGCCTCCAATATTACTCTCACTCTTTAGCCCATAACTTATTTCTCAGTTCAGATTATGCTTTCCATAAATGATTTAAATCTAATTTATACTTTTGGTTTGAAATCAATGTGCCCAATTTAGAATTTTTCAATCTGATTTGCTCAAGAGCATTTCAGAGCTCGTACAAAAGCGCCACACTGGAGGAGACACTGAATTCGAACAATTTTCCATGAAAAGACTGCAAATCATAGGATTCCTACAGTGTGGTAGCAGGCCATTCAGCCCACTGAGTATACATCACCCCTCCAAAGGGCATCCCACCCGGATCCACACCCTTACCCTGTCCCTTAAACCTCGCATTTCCCATGGCTAATCCAACTAGCCTGCACCTCCCTGGTCATTATCAGCAACTTAGCATGGCCAACCCACCTAACCTGCACATCTCTGGACTGTGGGAGGAAGCCCATGCAGACATGGGGAGAATATGCAAACTCCACACTTACAGTTGCCTGAGTTTGGAATTGAACCCCAGGTCCCTGGCACTGAGAGGCAACAATGCTAACCACTGAGCCACCATGCCTTTGTTGCAGATGTCAATGAGGTCAACAACAAGCAACGCTCCTTTGCCATTGATTGCAAACTTCAAACTCAAACTTACTGAATGTAATATTGATAACCAACGTAGAAATTTACAGCAACACTTAAATGTGCATGTCTATGGCAACCTGCATTTAAAATAAAAAGGGAAAGAGGGCATGGTGTTTCTCAACAATTCATTAACTGTTGAATTGATTTTTAAACTGGAACTCTGCAGGGTGAATGAAATAATGAGGACGGGTTATCTTTCCAGGCTTGGAACAAGATTTTGCCAAACTTGCAACAGATAACAGATTAGTTATTTTTGTACCAAAATGATTAATGTACAATAACCTGTGCTCTGAAGGAGGGTGTTCGAGGATTTTGACCCAGCAACAATGGAGGAATGGCAATATATTTCCATATCAGGACGGTAAATGGCTTGGTGGGGATCTCATAGGTGGTGATGTTCCCAAGTATCTGCTGCCCTTGTCCTTAAGTGTCAGGTTTGGGGTATCATAGCAGTCTTGCCTCAGAACTTGGTTCTAGCCCAAACCAAGATTGCAGCATAAAGCCCAGGCCAACAATCCACCGCAGTACTTAAGGAGTGCAACACAGCTCAAGGTGTGATCATTTGCAGAGGACATAAAGGTCCCCATCTACTCTCTTAGGTGAATGCAAATGATCCCATGGCATTATCTTGAAGGAAGGGAAGAAATTATCCAAGTGTCCTAGCTAATACTAGAAATTCCATGATCATCACAAAACAAAAAATCAGGTCATTATCACAGTTCTTGCAGGACATTGCAAACAAATTGTTTGCTGTATTTCCTACATTACTGCACTGACTACAATTCAAAAAGTGCTTAATTGTCTGCAAAGTTCTTTAGGATATCCTGAGGTCATGATACATGCACAATAAATGAAGTTATTTCACTCTTTCAAGCACTTGATCCAGTTTGGGGCTGTTTGTACATGCAAGTTCACTTTTCCATATATAAAAATAAGAGGAGAAGAGTAGTCAGCAGGCTGCCTTGTCATGGAGGGTGACCCGTAAGCCTGACACTTTCCCCAATGAAGTCAATCCATGTTTGATTGGAATGAATGGATTGCTATCAGTGAGAAGGGCTAGCTTAATCTTTACTAATGAAAGAGCACGGAGTCCAACTGTTGTTAACACCATCACTACCCAAAATGAAATCAGCTAACTCTGCAAAAGTCAAAAGCCAAACCAAAGTCTTTTCTGGTGTACTGGACTAATATAACTATGTACACTTCAACCATTTCTATTCATTGTCCAAAGGGTTAAGCGATCTAGTAATGAGAAACTAGGAGGAGGGGAAGACCTGCTGCCTACCCAGTCTTTACCAGATATTTATGATTTTTCTTGCAGACACAGCCCAAACCCCAAACAAAATGTGATCTTCACCAAGATGTAAAAACAAAATTGATGAGGTTAGTTGGGTGTCGAGTGTCGAGGTGGGTGGGGGATTCCTATCAGCATCCTTTGGCAAATCAAACTCACCCAGTGGTCTCAATTTACACCACAGGATATCTAGCTCTTATACCAGGTGTTCTCCAACACTGCAATAAACAGGTCCATTTCTGACTTGAAGGAATTCAGTGATTCAGCATTCACTATGTAAACTAGCAACCTGTTTGACAGGTCCATTATGGTCTGTGAAAACAGCGGTGTAATAAGCAGCCTAGTTGTGCCCTTGAGCTACCTGTAAGCATGACCACTGACCCACACTAATGTGCTTACATGAACAACTTGCATTTGCTTAGCACCTTTAAGAGTGTAAGACATCCCAAGACACTTCACAATAGGACAACTAAGCAAAACTTGACATTACGTTGCTTCAGGGGATATTGGGACAGCAAAGTAGTACATTTTAAAGGAAATGCTTAAAAGGCAGAAGAAATTGGAGGAGATGTTTACGGATAAACTTCTACAACATCAGCTAGGCACCTGAAGGTGCAACAGCCAAAAATCAGAGAACTACAAGAGACCAGAATTGAACTCTTCACCTTTTTTTTTTTTAAAATAAGCCTTCATCAAATTTATTTCCATGCCTTTTCCAGCACATTAAAAAGGTGCCAAGAAAGAATACTGGAAACTCAAATAAAAGCAAAATACTCTAGATACTGGAAATCTGAAACAAACGCAAAAAGAATGCTGGCGAAACTCAGCTGGTTAGCATCTTGGAGTGAGAGAAACAGAATTAATGCTTCAAGTCCAGCATGACTTTTCAAAACTGGAACTCATCTGGATATCACTCTAGATGTACAGAAAATGGTGTGATGACCACAAAAATTGTAATGCTGATTTCCCACTGCTGTGCCTTTAGTTGGAGTTATGGTGAAAGGTTTTAATATATAGTCCTTGCTATTTCTAAACATTACTCCAAATAAATCACAAGTGAACATGTTTCCAAGGTTGCAAACTGATCCAAATCATTTAGATACAAAATTAATTCCTCACACCAATCATTAATGCATCCTTTATTTATACCCTCTACCGCAAATTGTACTGAAGTAAAAGACAGCAGTAATGCACTCAAAATAAGAGAGATCAAAACAAAAGTATGCCATTGCAATCAGTGTGAAAGTCTAATAAGGGATACCTTAATAAGTTTGTGAATAAATGTCCTGCAAAGATCAAGATCAGCTTAGATTTTACTTCAATCAGGTTAATAGTGGGAAAGGAGAAACCAGCTTTTCCCTCAGTATTCCAAAGCTACAAAAAAAAGGAATAAAAACTCCAATGATGCTGCTTGGCCTGTTGTGTTCATCCAGCTCTGCACCTTGTTGTCTCGACTAAAAACAGGTGCTTCCCCTAAGAATGCTATCCAGTTACCCATGCTGAAAACATGTCTGTTGTAGATGCAATAAAAGAATAAGCTCTGCTGTGATGTCTTTTATAGTCAAATAGCCTGCCAGAATATACTGTGCAGATTCACACACAAGGAAATGTGGAGGCATTTGAAAGATGAATTCTGTTGAAACACACCTTAATTTCATTCAATACCCTGATAAAAAGAAATCCTGTTCAAGGTCATTTCTGCTAATAGACAACGAAGCTAACTAGGCTATTTATTTATAAAAATTAACAAATGATAACACATTTGCACGTTGAGTAATTTGTCAGCTTTACAACCTTAGTTTATATGAAAGGGGACAGAGAGCACATTGGTTCCAAGTAGAGTTATCAGGAAAGGAATTATGTAATTTGCATACGAAAGCAGTCTTTTTTAACATAAGTATCATTAACACGTTTTACATTTGTGTACAATATTTTATGCCCTCAGGTAGATTCAAAGCACTCCAGCCAAATGAAGCACTTTTTAAAAATGTATTCATTTGTGGGATGTGGGCGTCGCTGGCTGGCCGGCCAGCATTTCTTGCCCATCCCTAGTTGAGAAGGTGGTGGTGAGCTGCCTTTTTGAACCGCTGCAGTCCTCCTGCTGCGGGTTGACCCACAATGCTATTAGGGAGGGAATTCCAGGATTTTGACCCAGCGACAGTAAAGGAACGGCGATATATT